TTCAATTTGTCTCCAAATAATACCATGGGGATGACGCTGGAATAGTGCAATTAATTCTTCTTTAAGAATGGCAAGACGTTTTTCATGGACACCATCAATGTTACCCAACTGATACATCTCCTTCAATTTCACCCAGTGCTCATCACATCTGTCATGTTCCCTAGATTTTTCAAAGATTCCTCCATCTAGTTCTCTCAGAAATGTCGTTGGAGTGAAACTGGTCTTGAACATTCTATTGTAAGCGATAGCGATGTAATGTTGAGGCAATCCAAACCTGAACAGCGAGAACAACCTGATCAGTTGGTTCTTCATTGATTCTTTTTGTATGTCTTCTTGTTCTATGTAGGACAAATTCAACTCAACATGATATTCACTTATTGGACAGTTAAGCCGCGGTGCTCTTAGTGTAAACATCTCGAAAAATGTAAAAATCAAATCGTCCTTATGAGAAACCCCATAGGCTCTTGGGTTCAGAGTTTTCCGGAAAACTTTACAGTATAATTTGCCGATTTGATTCCATATAATGCCATTGGGATGACGCTGGAATATCACAATCAGTTCCTTTTTGAGGTTGGCAAGGTCTTTTTCATTAGCAACATGAATTCTACTCAAACGATACGTCTTCTTCAATTTCACCAATTTGACTTCATCAGTCTCTTGATCCCTGGTCTTTTCAAAGATATCGTCATCTAGTTCATTCAGTAATGTCTTTGTATCGCACCAACCATACTTCTCCGGGGTCAAATTAACTTTAAACATTCTTTTATATTCAATATTGATGTAATATGGAGATAACTCACGACTAAACCGCGAAAACAACTGAATCAGTCGAAATTTAAATATCTTTCTTTCAACTGCTGCATCTCTTATTTCGGGTGATTTAAATGACACTAAATGTACATTCGACTGTCTGTTAGGTTTTACAGCAGGCTCTTTTAAAAGTACCCATGTATCATTTGTTTTTTTATTTGATGTAATGCTAACAACGTCAGAGCAGAGATTTAACAAACTATTAATATTTCTGACTCCATATTCTTCTACACACAGATTTTTGCCGTACTGCTCGGCATAGAATTTGGATAGATTGGATATGTGAATCTTATTGTCTGATTGTTTCTTTAGCAGTGTTTTTATCTCACATTTCAAACGGTCCGTTTTTGTCGGCATGGCTGCCAATGTGCGTCGACTATTTTGATTTATGATATCAGGGATTTAAATTTCATTCATTAATGATCTTCTTGGTTGCAGTTATCTGCAAAAATATAAGGTTCAATATTTTGTTATAAAATAAATATATGTTTTTCAAAATATTTGTCATGTCAGTGTAACAAACTTTACCAACCACATATAGTTCGCTTCATATGAATACAGGAAGAGAGATAATCAGGTGGCCCGTCTGTCTGTGCATTCGTCTGTCTGTCTACCTGCCTACCTGATTATATGTTTCTCTATATTCACACAAAATTCATATTATACATACAATAGACCGGCAGATAATAATATAAGTATTTTGGAATCACGTGTATGAATAATTAATTCGGCCATATATATATCGGCTTTCAACTTCACAACCTTTCTACATTCATGTAGTTTACTGTCACTATTGTGATATCATCTCGATTAAATAATTTTGTACCCCAAATAAATTATGTGCTTATATATATTCAAATTAGTCCATGTGACAAGGCATGTCGGCTTCTATATCAACGCCATCTATGTGTTACACGGCATTTTATCCTCCGGTAGTTTTGTCGATTTTAAAATAATTACAAATTCAATGCATGTATCATTCTTATTTTATTTTTATGATTTCGCGTCATTTATTTAAAGCGGGAGGGTCGTCACCTGCGCGCGCGCGAATCCCAAGCGACGATAACACATGCTAAGAACGCAAAGGCTCATGGGTAGGCGCTTATTTGTAAACAATGACACGCTATGGTCATCTGACGCATGCGTAGGTGACAACTCCTCCGCATTTAAACTATGGTCTACTTAATATATGCGTAACCTGTTAACGTAGTTATCTTCATATTCAGCGAAAATTAGGAAAACTAGGATTTTTTTCAGAAAAACGTAACCTGCACAGACACATACTTTCGGAGCTATTCAAGTTTGAAAACCCCTTCACAAACTGAATAAAAAACGTAGAAGATGATTACCTTTTTTTATCTTATCCTGGCAGTGGTGAATTTTCAGTGTGTAGCCAACTCTGTCTAAATAAGCAAAAACGTATTTTTACTATAATTATATTATTTCTAACACCCCCTAGATAATCCATTGTTGTAACTAAGTGGTTAATTATAATGGAACCAAAAATGTACAATGGTAGTAAACATGTTGAACTTTCAATATAGAGGTGATGCAAATGATGAGACAATTATGACAAATATGTAACAGATGAAGTTATCAATATTTGATGGGTGTAAATATGGTAGGTTTATATAGTTAATTTTAGTCCCATGGTACAATATTTTGGCCAGATCTACCAAAACAATGATTTGAATACGAGGACAATGATTCGCCACCTGCATGAACAGTTTTCCCATTCCCACGTGAAGACGTGCAATATGGAGATTTCATAATGGCGGTCGCTAAATATGTCAAGTATGTCCGCTGAACATCATGTTACATCCTGCTACATGTTTAGAAGACATGTAAGTTATTACGTGTTGTGATAGAGCATGTTTTATCAAAGTTACCCCAGTAAATATCGGTGATGATAGTTGATCCAACGTACTAGACATTAGATGATTCAATAGTACAATATTGGTCATAAAATAACAGTGGTTACTAACGCATACGTATCATTGATGGACCACAGTCGATCTGTAGAGACTGTACTATGATCTCCGATATAATATTACCAGCTCCTGTATACGTACGCGACCCCCCCCCCTCACGCCAACAAAATTAAAATGTTAATATTACTAATGTTTTAAAATTTCTCGCACGCACCTGAACTACTCCCCGATGTTCACAGGTATGCGTGCATTCTAGTTTGGTTTGAGCAGGTGGTGTCAGATTAATGACGCACATTCAACGACGGGCATGGCGGTGTTGTAGTGTAGTCTTCTCAAACGGTGCAACCTATGCCGTCAATAAATGTTATAATTCCCCCAACCAAGAACAAAATACACGTTTTCACTTACAGTAATCTTCTACCATAAAGTAATGCCATTGGTGTACGTGCTTACCTGTTGCACTGTTGATGCCAAATAATATATTAACTTAATTTGCAACTCGTGACAATGTGTGTCATCATTACCTGGAATTGTGGTATGCAATTGTAAACATGGTGCATTATTTATAATATATCTATACATGGGTTGGAACCCCTTATCAAGGTGCAAATACAAAACACGTATGATCGGTGCAAGGCAAATATAAAAGGTAAATAGGCAACTACACAATCATACGCCTGGATCGGTGTAGTTGTTTATGATGACATATTTTACGGAAGTAAAGTTTAATATGGTGATAAACACGATCCGGTAATCAATTACACGATTAGACTGTGCAAGCTGCCGCGATACCACCTTACTGTTTGTCACTCCGCGTACAACATATAGTGCACGCCGAATACACGTTAGAGGTCATATTCAAAGTCATTAAAACAATAAATGCGAACAATTTATCGGTATTTACTATAAGAGGACAGCCCTATTGAGTATGACACAATTTGATAATCGGTTTTTCAGTTTCCTACAAATCAGAGTAACAATTACAGACTATCATAGGCAAAACGTTCCATTTGAGCAACTGATTGCAAAATTCAGCCAAATCCGTCGTTTTTGTGTGAAAAACATCTCTTTCATAGGTACACCTTAATTACACAAAAAACATTGAACACTTTCCGAGTTTTTGAAACCGAAATCGTCATCCAACTCAGGAGCCAATCATCGACGGCCTTGGACGCATTTATTTTATTATCACGTGTATGCCAGCTGACCGTGGGACATAACATGGAGACATGCAAGATCTGCTGGAAGATAACGTCCGATAACCAGGCTCAGGTTAATTACCTCAGTAAGTTCTGTTTTTACC